CGAGCTCTATGTTCTTAAAATCATTTCTGGAATATCAAGCACCATGCGGTGTTGCCCCGAGGGCTGGCGTTCTTATTAACTTCGCCTTACAAGATTATTTCAATCTAGAATGCTTACTTCAAGTTCCAACCGGGCACGATCAATTCAAGTGCATTTGGCGCTTGTATCAAGTAAAATGCACTTGGATCAAGTTTAGGCTTTTCTGGGTGAAGATTTTCACTGCCACCATTGATCTGTGCTGCGTGGCGGAAAATTACTGGAACTTATGGAGCCTGCCAGACTCTGGGTAGGCCTCTCCGCGGTACACGCATGCACTGTAGACAAGAAGTTGCCTACCCATCAGGCGCTATGACAGCTTCCGTGTGCTCTGCTCAACTTGGCAGGTTCGTTCGTAACGTCGAATGACGGGCGTACTTTCTGGAAAATGTCCGAGCAGGACAGATGGACTCACCTGGCTCTCCGCTGGAGGCCCGGACGGCGCCGACGGCCGAGTGCCGGGGGACGTTCTCGCGCACGCTGTAGGTGTAGCGCGGCCGCTCGAATAGCGGGGGCCGCTGGTCCGAGGAGGCCACGACGGTGAGCGACACCTGCGCGTCGACGGGCGCCCGGAGGCCGCCGCCGTCCGTCGCCGACACGTTGAGGCGGTGGACGCTGCTGGCGTCGGCGCCGCGCAGCAGGTCGGGCCGGGCGACGAACAGCTCGCCGGAGCGCGGGTGCACGCGGAAGGCGCCGAGCTCGTTGCCCGCCGCGATCGCGTACGTCACCTCGCCGTAGCGCCCCGTGTCGCGGTCCGTGGCCACCACCACGACCACGGGCGAGCTGGGCGGCGTGCTGTGCCGCAGCGACACGTTGTACTCGCGGGGCAGGAACACGGGCGCGTTGTCGTTCACGTCCGTCAGCTGGATCTTCACCATGGCCGTGGTGCTCAGGCCACCTGCAACAAGGGAGAGAAACATGTTCATCAGCACAGAGGAAAGACAGCAGTGCCCACTTTTCTCCATATTTCCCTGGACTCCTCCTTCTCCTCCCCCCCCCTCCCTCCGGCTCGTTGTACTAAAACCCCGGGCCGTTCCCTCGGCGCGCAGCCCTTGATGTCCGACGATGTACATGTTCCGTGACCTTTGCGGCTTGGGGTTGCACTGCAGCAAGCAAACGGCACCGTGCCTTAAAGCCCCATGGAGAGCGAGCGTGCGAGAGAAAGAGAGACAGAGAATAAGAGAGAGCGAGAGAGAGAGCAAGGCGCGGAGAGGGGAGGGGGGGGGCGTAAAATTAACGCCCAGGCGGAATGGAAGGGAATGGGCAGTTATGTGATCGGTACCGTTTTCTCGTAAAAGGCGCTTTTGCACGGACCTGTGAGTCAGTGTGCACGTTTGCGAGTGTGCGTGTGTGT